CACCGTGTCCTTACCAGGGAGTTCACATGGAGCAGGCTCCTAGGGTCTAGGACCCCTCCTCTGGGCAAAAAAGGGACAGCTGGTCACCCTCACAGATGTTCTGCCAACCTCAGGACACAGTACAAGGCCTCTGCCTGGCCCAGCACCCACCACCTGGGGCCTGACCATGTCCCTTCTGTCCATTCATAGCCCCTTCCAGTGGAACCTTCCCACAGCCTACCATCAGCTCCCAGCTGCCATGGCAGAGCAGTCTCTGCACCTGCATTTCGGGAACCTCCTGCAGGGATCACTCACCTGCCGACTCCAACCTGTGCCTCAGGCCTCAGGTGGAGCCCACCTCCTCCATGAAGCCTGTCTGGCTGGCCCGAGTCTGCAGGATCCCCGGTGCTCCCATTTCTGAAGGTCACGAGCACCTCCTGCCTCCTGGGCCTGGCATCTGGTCTGTGCTAAGTGTGGGGTGTCCCCAACAGTCCCATGTCTCCCCATCCCTCAGAGGCTATGAGCAGACTGAGGCAGTCCGGCTTCCTCTCCCTCCCGTGGCCTGCCTCACTCGGTGCAGAGCTGTGCACATGAACTGCTGTGCATGTGCCGCTGACCCAGGAGGTGATGTACGAGGGACTTCAGAGCTCATCTCCACCCTCCTGGTCCAGACAAGGAAACAGGGTCAGGGAGGGACAGGGACTTGCCAAGGTAACACCGAGATGAACGCACCCTGTACCCTCCCCAGAACCTCCCGTCTTCACGAGAGGACCTCACCAAAGGGCTGCCTTCCTGGGTCCCCAAAGTCCATGAAACCAGGACTGCTGGGGAGAGAGAGGACGAAGCAAAGATAGGACCCAAGGTCTTCAGTGCAGAATGTGAGGGAACCGGAAGGGGCTTAAGGAACCACACGAGGCATTTTCTTACTTCTACAATGTTCCTGTTACTCTGTTTTATCCCGAAAGCAATTTGAGAGGTACAATTATTGTCCCTTTTGCAAGAGACTAACATGAGACAGGCCTGGTCACTTGGTGAGGGCGACACAGTGACAGAGGGGGCCACCCTGTCCCCGTCCCTGGTCCTAACCCGTGCTCCTCATCTGGGTACCTCGCTGTCAGGCAAGGCCGGCTGTCGTGCTGCTGGTGCAGGGTCACTAAGAGAGGCGAGCTCCTGGGGAGCTGTTTGCCCAGGTGAGGTGAGCCCCTGCTGGGCACGACCTGGGTGGTGGCCACACCCCCTGACAGGGAGAACAGCTGTCTTAGCAGCTTGCTGGCCAGAGAGATGTCAGTGTGTGTGTGTTATCTGTCTGTGTGTCTGTGTGTGTATTTATGTGTGTGTCTGTGTGTGTGTCTGTGTGTGTATTTATGTGTGTGTCTGTGTGTGTGTCTGTGTGTGTATTTATGTGTGTGTCTGTGTGTGTGTCTGTGTGTGTATTTATGTGTGTGTCTGTGTGTGTGTCTGTGTGTGTATTTATGTGTGTGTCTGTGTGTGTGTCTGTGTGTGTATTTATGTGTGTGTGCGTATTTATATGTGCGTGTGTGTCTGTGTGTGTGAGTGTGTGTCTGGGACAAAATCTGTCAATTCCCCCACTTGGGTCTTCCCTCTACTGCCCCCTTATGGATGCAGGAAGAGGTCCCTTCTCCCCGCTGTCCCCAGGAACTCCCCTGGCCCTTCCTCTCTCCTCCCATCCATCCTCAGTGGCCCTGACTGGCTGTCCAGCAAGCCCAGGCTGTGTCACTCCCCAGTGCGTTATGTCTGCTTTCCCACTGGGATGTCCTTGGCTCCTGGCTGAGAGTGCAGATGTCACCTTTATCTCCAGTGCTATTCCAGTCACTCCGCAGTAATGGACACATCTCTCTTGGGGTGGAATCCAGACCACATTCTCCAGCCAGGGGCTCTCGGCTTTCCTAGAAGGATCCAGCAGGAAGGTGGCAGGGGTGGTAGTGTGGGCTCTGCAGCCTCCCAGGACAGGAGTGTCCAGCTGTCCTGTCAGGACAAGCCAGATAGGGAAGTCATGGATAGCTCTGGGAGCCCCTGCTGCCAAACCCTCTGTGGCCCAGATCTTAGTCACTGTCTCTGCTTCTCCTCAGAAGGGGCCCTGGGACATCAGCTGTCTCTGGGGCTCATCAGCACCGACCCTGTCATTCTCAGCCTACAGGGAATCTTTCAGGGAGCAGACGGAGGCTGAGGGCCCAGTGGTCCCGGGTCGGGAGAGGGTGGCTCCAGCTGTCCCCCTTCCCTCACCTGGATAGTGAGGGGTCCCAAGGTAGATGGGAGCTGAGGTTCTCTGTCTGGAAACAGCACTCTCAGCCTTCTCTGCCATCAGCCAAGGCCCTGGGGCTGTGGCTCTGAGCAGAACCATCCGGGAGGCTCTCCTGGGACATCCTGCCTGGTGTCCTCTGCTCCGGGCCCCTCCCCAGATTCCTGGCAGCCCAGGAGAACTCTGTGGCTCAGGAAGGCTATGGGGGTGCAGCACAGCACAAATCCTCTGCGTGTGCAGCCACATTCCTCATTTCTCTGGCTCCTGGGACCCCCTGGGAGACGTTCCCTAATCCCTAGTTAAGTGGTCTCAGACCAGGCAGGGTTCCACGTGGGCTCCAGCCTTCTGGGTGGGTCCCTGCAGGGTCCCGCAGAGTTGCTGCACATGCTGTAGCCTGTAAGCAGTGGGGAGAGAGGTGAAGAAGGGACACTTTTTGCTCATGGGCCCGATGCTGCTGGTCCAGCCCCAGCCCCTTCTCTGCCTCTGCCTCCAGGTCCTACCAGCTAGTCCCCCTGAGGGTAAGGCTGGGTGCTCCCGGCCAGGTCACCCTCCTCCCTTGCTGGGGTCTCATGGTCATCTTGACTGGACACAGGCAAAGGACACAGTACCCAGAGATCCAGTGTCACTGCCCTAGTGCAAGTGCCAAGAGCTGCCCGTGGTGGCTGGGAGGCAGCTTTACTCACGTCGCCTGTGTTTCTTCTTCCAAAACCCATAGAGCATGACCAATATCACGGGCACGGGCAGGAGGGTCAGCCCCAACACGAGCACAGTGGGGTCGGAATCCCGGTGCCTGAGGGGCCAAGACAGAGGGAAGGATATGAGCACCCACACCTCCCACCCTGATCATGTATTTCTGCAGTTGCACTAGGGGATTCTGAGCAGGGCACGACGCCAGCCGCAGAAAACCTGATGGCACCCTTCTTGGCGTACACGGGCCTCCCTCCTTGGACTCCCAGCTATAGCCTCTAAGAGTTCAGGGGAGGACATCTCTGGCTGAGGGGGCATCTCTCTACATTGGAACATCTCCTCCACTATGCCCATAAATCTGTTTATGGGTGAGGACAAGGACTCTGAGAGACCCCACATGTGACCGAGGAGATAAAGATTCTTGCTCAGCTCACAGTGACAGAGGATTTCTCTTCCCCCTTGTCCTCTGTAGCAGGTGCTCTGGGCACCCAACTCTGCCCCTGCCTGTACCACTTCCCTGTCCACAGGTCAGCAGCACCTTTTTCTTTATTTGGCCTGAGGACTTTCTCTTGTCACTGGAGCCTCCTGTGCCACAAGTGGCTGCCAGCTGTCTGCCGATAACCCATAGCAGCGGGATACAAATACCCAGCTCCCTTGCCCTCAGGGGGTGTGTGACCTCGATTCCAGTGTCCCCAGTGGGATTCAGCTCTTGTTGCACGCAGTGGGAGGTGGCTTGATGAAGGACCCTTTATGGGACCCTTTCTTCCCTGTCTCACTTCCCAACCCTTTTTCCAGTTTCCAGATATGACATATGCTGGACTCAGAGTCTGCTTCTCCAGGGGAAGCCACATTAAAGAGAACCCTTTCCCACCCCCTAATCCCAGAGCCACATCCTTGCCTGGTCCGGGTCCATCCCCTCTCCTGTCCACCCACAGATCTTCATGCACCCCATCCCCTGCCCCTCGCCCACCACCACCGTCCCTGTGTCACTTCCACTCTCCCACCCCCCACTCAGCAATGGCCATGCTGAGTTCCTAGGAGCAAAAGGGGAAGGAAGGTCAAATGTAGGATCTGCACCTCCAGGTCTGGTTGGGCACCATGAGGTGGCGCCACATTGGTAAACATCACCTCGGGTACCTTGTGGCATCCAGGTTGTTGAGGAGAGAGGTGCTGGTGTGGTACATCCCTGTAGAGGGCCATCTGGTGCTGCGGTGCCCGGCTATTGTAGAGACAGAGTTTGGGCCAGCCCAGGAGGGTCTGGCATTGCTCGGAGATATGACTGCAGTCTGAGGTCCCCTGGTCCTCCTGGACCCTGTGGTGCTGGCGCTGGTACCTGTGTCACCGGAGACTGTCTTGAAGGTCAGCCTGGTGGCCCCTGAGGCAGTGGAAGGCAAGGGTCTGTCCATGGTGAAGAGTCCAGGAGTGAACACAGTGATGCTAGTGGTCAAAAGGGCATCAGGACTGGTTGTGGGAGCTGGGCCTGTTGTGACAGCAGTTCCACTCCTGGGGACATTGGCCAGGTGTGTGGAGGGAGTGATCCTCCCAGTTGTGAGGGCTGAGGGAACAGAGAAGCGGAGCATTAGACTGACATGGGGGCCTTGGTGCTGGGAGTAGGCAATGGCAGACACACGCTTCTCTTGACACCCGGTGAGGCCCGTCCTCTTCTCCCCTCCTTGACCTTGGGTCTAGGACTCCACTCTGCTCAGTGCACGTGTGTGTACTGAGCAGGTGAGGTCAGGAATGAAGAAGTAGGCATAGTGAAGAAGGGAGAGACTTTCATAATTTCTGTAGCTTGACTGTCAGGCCACCTGTCCCCACAGGACACCCATTCTCCATTCCCATCACTCTCACGTCACTTTCCAGACTTTCCTCACTCCTGGGGGCCACAGAGATTTCTACAGTGTTGTTGAATGGGGACTGTTCCAGCTGCTCCATAATCAGCAAACAGGGTCTAGAGACGAACACCCAGGGCCCCAAGTTCGAGACATCGCTGCAAAGAGTTGGGGTCATGTCCTTTCCTGGGGGCCTGCTAAGAGACGTCTGACCTGGTGCTGCACCCCTCATCCACCAACCCAACTCTTTCCCACCATTTCGAGGCGCAATCTGGAGGTTGGCTGGAGGATGAGGAGGGAGTCGTAGGAGTTGGGGGCCTCCCTCTAGCAGGGAGCGTAGGTTCTGTCTCTGCAAAGGATGAGCAAATGGGAGAGAGGCTGCTGCGTCCCACTACTGTGCAGGACATGACACTTCCCTGAGGGCCAAGTCGTCACCGTGGGAGCTTGAGCCACTTCTCTCGCAAGGACACCCAGAATGAGCAGCACTGGCGAGGCTGGACACAGAGCAAGAGGCTGGCCTGGCCTGGAGCCTGATGTCCTGCATCTTCTAACTCAGCAGAAGCGACACCCCCAAAGAACCCTTCAAAGAGCTCACACATCGGTGCCTTGGGAGAGCCCACCTCACAGAGGATCCCAAAGGGGTGTCAGAAAAGGCCTGACCTCCTACAGAGCGAGCACTCCTACATCACATCAGTCATTAGGTCGCACGACCATTTCTCTGTCCCTCCTTCCTGCTCAACACATCAACGCAGGTGTGTGGGAGAGGGAGGACCAGGAGGAGGTGACATAGAGGAAAGCCCCTTCCCCACTTCAGGTGTCTTGGGCCATAAATCTGGTCCTGACCAGGTTGAAAATCATCCATTGTCAGAAGATTAGAGTTTGTAACTGGGCTGAGGATTCTTTTTATTTCCAAGTAACTGAAAAAGTTACACAGCTGCAATCTCCACAAATCGCCCTTGACAGGTAGAAAGAGAATTGACGCAGCACAATTGGGGGAAATGAGAGAAATGGATGTTAATGCCATCTTTACAGAGATACTTTTAAATATACAAGGGTACTTTAGAAAGATGGTGGAAAACAGAACGAAAACATAACACGACCCTTCCCATGAAATCTTTGAAGACCTTCGTACACCGAGGTCTGACCTCCCGCTTGTGCTCCAGGCCGCTAAGCCGAGTTCTGGTCCTTTCTCCACTCGGGGCTCTTGGAGGTGCTTTAAACCTAACGTGGCAAGCTTGGAGGTGCTTTAAACCTAATGTGGCAAAGAGAGCTCTTGATTTTCTCCTCCAAACTAGCTTACCCTGCGCAATAACTGGATCTCCTGATGCAATACAAGAGCCTGGAGTCGTCCCTGATTCCCACTCTCGCTCTCCTCCCACCTGAGCACGTCCTGTCCTGCCACGAAACGCACAAGTGCAGAGAAAGTCCAAAACACATGGGTTGGAGCCCATCCGCTTCTCTCCTCCTCTAGTGTCCACATCCTGCTGCACATCACAGTCATTTCCAGCCAGACACACAGCTGGGTCTCTCTGCCCGTGCTCCTTCTCTCCTGCAATCCATCCTCCACGAGCGGCCACCATAGTCTTAAAAACAAGCCACACACACCTCTCTAAACTCTCCAGTGGCTTCCAATCACACTGAGAATAAAATCCAAACTCACAGCATGTATTTCAGGCCTGCTGCTTGACCCTCCCAGCTCATCTCTCACTGCCCCACATTCAATACGGACCAGCCATGCAAGCCTTCCTTATACAGGCCAAGCTCCTTCTCACCACAGGGCCTTTGCACATGCAGCTCTCCCCACGGAGTGCCCTGCAAAGCACCCAGATTTCACCAGGACTAGGGAACTCTCGTCACTTAGGACTCTGCGGGATGTCATCTGCTCAGGGAGGTGTTCTCTGATCCTTGGTACTTCAGTAGCTCTTTCATCACTGCGTTACTTTCTGGTTCATCACACTGTTTGATTTTCTTAACAACACTGACTGTTATCTGCAATCGTTTTTCTGGATGAAGAGTTATTGCCTGTCATCTCTCATAGGGAAGAATTGTGTCTTTTTGCTCACCGCTGCCTCCTCAGAGCCTAGAACAGTGCCTGGCACACATAATAGGGGCTCAGAGAATGTCTGTTGAATAGATGACTGAATAAAACAAAGCGTAGAGTGTCCTGAGTTTGAATCTCATCTCTGCCACCTGCTAGCTCTGTGACCCTGCACAACTCAGAGCCACATGAGGCTTCTCAGATCTCATTTCCTTTGTCTATAGAGTAATGCTCATGAAAATGTCTGTAAAGGTACTTTGAAACCCCTATGGCACAACATGACTATTGATGGATGTTCTTTTTACATCACATGTTAGTGGAGTGCAGGGCAGGGAGGACATCCTTTACCCATTCCAGTGTCCCACAATTCTGCTCACCTGGAGACACTTCCAGCAAGATGCCCATCAAGGGGTACAGGGTCCCGGAGGTCTTGCGCATGCACCAGTATCGGCCAGAGTCCTGGGGCTTGAGGGCTGTCATGGTGATGTTGACCACCTTGGCCTGGGCATCATCCTGCAGCACGTAGCTGGGCCCCTTTACCCAGCCTCGGGTGAAGCCAGGCTCACAATTCTTCTTCCTGATTTTGCACCAAACTTTTCCCTCCACACGGTTTTTGCGGCCCTTGTAGGAGCACTGCACAGACAGAGTCTCCCCTTCCAGGTGCTGCACTTTGGTGTACACGCTGTCAGCAGGGGCACCTGGGGAGACAGGATTTGCTGAGCAAGGTGTGTGGAGAGAGCAGGAAGAAGGCATCGTGAGAATGGGGAGCTTGTGGGGAAGGGAGATGAGGTGGAAGTTGCCCTGTTGTCATGGAACCCACAATTCAATTGGGAATCACAGCCCTACCTTCAGGAGCTCTGCCCAGTGTGAAGGGGAGATCCATAGGCCCTGCTGTCAGGTAGTTCCTGTACTATGGGGGAGACACGGCCTCCTCTGTCAGGGAGAACCCAGTCTGATGGAATAGACAGAGGCCTCTCCCTCAGGGCTCCCCCAATCTGATGGAGGAATCTCAGCCCTTGTACTTGGAGCTCCATAATACACAGCCCCTTCATCGTGGTCTTTTTTAGTCTAATGGGAAAGTGATAAACCCTGTCTCCAAAGATTCTTAGTCTTGTGGGAAAGACTGAGCTCCTGCCTTCCATGAAACAGGTGCAGAGACACAAGTCACTGAGTTCTCAAATTTCAGAGCACAAGCAACTTAGAGAGATGAGAAATCCCATATTTGGTAAAATGATGAGTGGTTATTTATCTCACAGATAGGTTCACTGCAGTCATCTTTTAAACAGCAATCTAGGCCATGGGACCGCTCCCAGCCCAGGAGAGTAAGCACAGCCCAGAGATGACCCCCCAGAGATGCCTGAAAGCTGCCGTGACCACACACCCCGAGCCACCTGCGTGGGAACAGGTAGGCGCTACTGCTGGACTCCCAGCCCAGTCCAGTCCCCATGGCCCCGAGAGGCTGGAACCTCCCGCCCACAGGTGCTGAGGTGGCCATGACAAATTTGCAGTCCTGACAGGATCCTGGCCAGATAATAGGGTCAAACGTGTGGACCGTGAAATCCCCTGCCACAATGACTAAACACCAAAGGAAAGATACCAGAAATATGAAAAATCAAGAAAGTACACCACCAAAGGGTAATAATAACTCTCAATCTCTAGATCCTATCGAACAAGAAACCCTTGAAATGACTGACAAGGAATTTCGAGCGATACTTCTAAGGAAACTAAATGAGATACAAGAAAACTCAGCTAGACAACATGATGAAATGAGGAAAAGTATACAGGACCTAAAAGAAGAAATGTACAAGGAAATCAATGCCCTGAAAAAGAATGTAGCAGAGCTTGCAGACCTAAAGAATTCATTCAATGAAATAAAAAACACAACAGAGAGTTTAACCAGCAGGCTTGCAGAAGCAGAAGAGAGAACTTCTGATCTTGAAGATAGGCTGTTTGAAATAACACAGGCAGACGAAGAAGAAGAAGAAGAAGAAGAAGAAGAAGAAGAAGAAGAAGAAGAAGAAGAAGAAGAAGAAGAAGAAGAAGAAGAAGAAGAAGAAGAAGAAGAAGAAGAAGAAGAAGAAGAAGAAGAAGAAGAAGAAGAAGAAGAAGAAGAAGAAGAAGAAGAAGAAGAAGAAGAAGAAGAAGAAGAAGAAGAAGAAGAAGAAGAAGAAGAAGAAGAAGAAGAAGAAGAAGAAGAAGAAGAAGAAGAAGAAGAAGAAGAAGAAGAAGAAGAAGAAGAAGAAGAAGAAGAAGAAGAAGAAGAAGAAGAAGAAGAAGAAGAAGAAGAAGAAGAAGAAGAAGAAGAAGAAGAAGAAGAAGAAGAAGAAGAAGAAGAAGAAGAAGAAGAAGAAGAAGAAGAAGAAGAAGAAGAAGAAGAAGAAGAAGAAGAAGAAGAAGAAGAAGAAGAAGAAGAAGAAGAAGAAGAAGAAGAAGAAATTCAAAACATTGAAGATAATCTAAGAGAGATAATGGATACAGGTAACCTTAAGCATGCAAATATCTGAATCATGGGTATTCCAGAGGGGAGGAAAAAGGAGACTGCACTGAAAACATATTCAACAGAATAGTGGCAGAAAACTTCCCTGGTATAGGGAAAGACAGATATTCAGATTCAGGAAGCTCAAAGATCCCCAAACATATTCAACCCAAAAAGGTCCTCTCCAAGACATGTTATAGTCAAATTGCAAAACTCAAAGACAAACAGAGAATCTTAAAAGCTGCAATAGAGAAGCATCAAGTCACCTATAAGGGAGCCCCAATCAGACTAACATCAGACTTTTCATCACAAACCCTAAAAGCCAGAAAGGAATGGGATGATATATTCAAAATACTAAAAGACAGAGATTTCCAGCCAAGAATACTTTACCCAGCAAGGCTAGCCTTCCGAAATGAAGGGCAAATAGTATATTTCTCTGACAAACAAAAACTGTAGGCGCTCACTACCACACGACCATCCTTACAAGAAATTCTAAAGGGAGTACGGGGTTTGGTACCTGAAAAATAACCACCACTGCCATAAAAACTCAAGAAAAATCAAAACCCACTAGTAAAATAAAAATGCTAACAATGAAGAGAAAAAAAAGTTTACCTACCCCAAGAACCCAACAAATACAGAAGACAAATAGTAAATCAGAAAGAAAGGAACAAAAGACACTTAAGACATCCAAACAAAAATCAATAAAATGCTAGGAGTAAATCAACACTTTTCAATAACAACTCTTAATGTAAAAAGATTCAATTCCCCACTCAAAAGACACATACTGACTGGATTAAAAAGGTGGACGCAACTATATGCTGCCTTCAAGAGATTCACCTCACCTGTAAGACACACATAGACTAAGAGGGAAAGGATGGAAAAAGATATAGCATGCAAATAGAAATGAAAAACGAGCCGGAGTAGCTATTCTTATATCTGATAAAACAGACTTTAAACCAAAAACCATAAAAAGAGATAAAGGAGGCCTTTTATCATTATATAGTTATAATGATA